ATTTTTCAACAATTGGGTTCGTAGAGCACCACATCAATATCCACACAATGATATATTCAACTTTCAAAAACACCTACTCCTTTATTCCTAAGTTGATCAAAATAACATACCTAAATGTCTAAAGCATTTGCAACATTATGCCTCAAAATTTAAACAATATAAACATATATATATATATATATATATATATATATTATCCTCTATTTAGAAATAACTAAATATAACTTTGAAAATAAATATTTTTACCAAAAATATAACATTTTATATTTAGATGAGAGTCTTTAGATTATGAATATATACATATATTTTTATCTTTGAACATTTAGATCAACTAGCGTAAAATTGTTTTATCTTTAGCATGATTAATTGGTCTCTTAAAAAAAATTATGAATACATTCTAACTGTAATTAAATTGAAAAAGAAATAGTACCATGTTTGCTTAAGTAGTGGCATATTGGTGTCAAAATTAATACTCAGAAAAAGGAAGAGTTCACGTGGGACCTTTGCCGGAATAAATTTCACAAGACAGAATACTAAGTTTGTTGGGACCCTAATGAGCTTTGACTGGGAAAAAGGAATTGCAGCTTTCCGATTTGGGGCCCTTAGATTTCTAATCTTTGAAAATTCAATAAAATTTAGGTGTGGAAATTGGAAAGTTGCTTTCTAATGCTTCAACTAATTCCCCTTTTGTCAAGCAATGAAAATTTTGGCTTGGCTTGGCTTTAAAGTCAATGATGGCATACAAACTTTTGGAAGCATTCAACGATATGGCAAATCTAAACTCAAATTTTAAAATTGGAATCATCATCATCAGGATTTGGCCCGACTACATTTAATAGAAATAAAGTTTTCTTCTAAAGATAATGAAGACCAACTTACAAAGGGCCTTTCAAAGTGTGGCATTTGATTATAATGCTTCAAGGAATCAAAGTGGCCATGGTTTAAAATGATTGTAAATATCATTACTTGCATTGAATAATGCGGTTTTAAGCTTCAAACGTGTATCGAAAACTAGCTTTTTAGTCTAAACTCGATAAAGACTACAATCTTTTCTTTTAATGGGAGTTACAGTTGTTTTAACTTTTACTTTATTTATCTGAAAAGAAGCTTTAAAAGAATCGATTTCGATGAAGTACAATAATGTTCAACGCATCTAATTTACCCTATAAGATTAGGTTTGCTTCTTCTGTTTACTTAGATTTGATTTTATAGCATTCATATGTTAGAAAATAAAGACAGAAAATGTAATACTATTATATATGATGTCAATTTTTTTTTAAATAATAAAATTAGTTGATAAAAATGTGTGAGTTGTTGTAAGTCTACTAGTACCAAATTAGATTCCTATAGATAAAATAATAAAATAGGTGATTAGATATTTAAATTTATGAATTGTCACTGACCTTCATCAGAATAAAGCACAAGTTTCGATTCATAGGGGTTACGATGTTATATATATCTTTTAAGCCAGCCCATATTTGCACAATCTCTGGCCCATATCTTTCTCAGATGATTTGTGGGTAGGCCCATTCACCCAACCCAAAATTTTCAGTGTTCTCTAAACTTAGAGTCGAAGCTTGAATGAAGTACTCACACACAACAATTTACTAACAATTGCACTCAACTAACACAACTCACGTAAGAAGATTAAATTTAAGAAAAAAAAATAAAATTAAGGCAAATGATGTTGCTTCTTATCGTTTAATGGATGAGAAATGCAAATTGTTCCCAAGAGTTTTTGTAAAAAAATTGCATGAATCCTGTTTGTTCTTCTTTATTTGGTTAGTGGAATATCATTTAATTTAAGAAATAAATCAATTCTAAAAAACTAACGGAATCATGGCATGTTGTTCGTACGTGAGATTCGTGCAATACAATTTGTACCAACCAACCATCATTTCCCTTCTCTAAATAATATAGATGGATGAAAATTTGACAATATGAAAAAAAATGCAGATTAGTTTATGATTAGATTTACCTCCCATTTTATACGGGTAAAGCGTATGTTGCCTGGCCTATTTAGTTGCGGGTTTATCCTTCTTATTAATTGAATAAAGTATTCTATTCAATAATTTTTATAATGTATTAGATGGATTAATAAAGTTATTATAAGAAAATTTAACTCCCAACATATCATTGATCTGAGTTAAACTAGGCTGAGACATCTTAAGAAAGTTTAAGACAAAAGAAATTTGCCATTAACAAATCTAATAGATATTTTGGACCGATATTATGAGAGAGCTTAAGGTAATGTTTGGTTAAGTTTTCAATATCCTTAAACTGATTTTACAACAAATAAACCTACAATATATACAAATCCTTGCAACACATGCAGTGTTCTCAGTCTTCATTTTCTAACATCCGATGAGGAGAATCATAGGGAAGATCGAGTACATGATCACCGCTAACATAAACCACTCGAAAAATATCATACTTCATCTCAGTGGAGAAGCGTTCAAGATATGGCATCATCCACTTTCTATGGTCTGAGTTGAGAATCCATGAGTAACAAAATTGTAGGGACTGCCACACTTGAATGCATAGCACCCTTGAGAAGCTTTGGCATTTCATGCAAATCCCCGCAGTTATGCCTTCTGTTTTGGAAAAACGTGATCTAAAAATTGCTAGGACTGCATAACACAAGTCATTAAGGTCCTTAGAAGTTGTGATCACTGAGTTCATGGAAATTATGTCACCAGTGCTGAACTTAACAGCTAAGGAACCATCTCTTGATTCTCCAGCATATGCATCAAGGAAATTATGTTCAACCAACACTGCCATTCTTGTTACGTTCGTTAGCATTGATTGCTGTAAAAGGGAAAATTGCAAAAATAAAAAATAAAAAATATTATTTGGTGAGCATTGCAATTTCGTTTATCAAAACACACACACACAATTGTGGTTCACATGTATGATTACATTCTGTTTACATAAAGGTTGCATTAGAATTGTCGCGCTTTCTATATAGATGTCTAAAATTTTCACATGTATGATTAATTTCAAAGTCTATTTCAGTATTCCAAGAAAGAAAACCAAGAAACCAGTCCAGTAGTTAGGGATCAAACTTACAAGATTTGCTGTTAGCTTATCTTTTTCATCACTTGACCGTTTCTGCCATGCTCCACACCATATGATCTGATTACAGGACATGAATATTTAAAATAATGTGTAAAAAACAGAAAAGAAAACAGTGAAACATGATATGCTTAGTGGGAAAAAAACTAGCATTAACACAGACAGGCAGAGCAACATATGTACCGTGTCACATTCACTAAAAACTCAAGTGGGTGGTTCATCTTGGTTCCAAGAAAAACTTTCAGCTAAGTAATACTAGGAACCAGACTTTGTGTTTCTAATTTTAGGAAAATGATTACTGTTGAATAGCCACATGATAAAATACTTTAACACAACTACAGGTTGTGAAGTTATGTGTCCAAGAGTTGATGACATATTCAACCATCATAGATGCTAAACTATCATGGAGGTATGCAACAAAGAAATTCTCATCTAAAAAATGTTACCAATGCAAAATCAGATTATGAGGAATAGGAAAAAGAAAGCTATAATCAAGAATTGATGCCATATATTTTTAAATTACAATAATGACATAATATTTGAATCTAAAATCTTGTACTACTCTGACTCTTATTATTTGGTAGACCCTAGTGGGTCGAATTTATGCTATATATACTTTGAAGCCAATTATATCTTAAAATCATATTTAGTTTCGGTGCAATATTCCAGTTATGGCCATCCCAGTCAACACTGCATGTATTGCAATATAACAGAAGAAAAAAAAAAAAGAGATTTCACCGGTTAATTAGCACAATTTGAAGCTTACAGAATCCAGAAGGAAAAGAAGGAACATACACTTGAGATTTCAGATAATTTAAGAGAAACTATAAAAAAAATGAATTGAGAAAATTTAGAATCATAGAAATGAAAGAAGAACTAACCATATTTCCATGTATGCTTCTAAATATAGAGCCTTGTAGACAACCAAGATCGTGAGTGAGTAAGGAAAAGTGTTGGAGTTCATGAACAAGATGGTCTACAATTACTACAGTTGGCTTGAAAATATAGAAGCTTAAGTCCAAATCTCTGCTGTTAAAATCCACAGAGAATGTCATGATCCTAGTTTTCTTTGTGACGCTTCTCTTCGAATACTATTTATGTTTTATTGGTAAGGCTACAAATACAAATACTATTTTGTCTTTGTAATTTGTCAAACACGAGTTGTGAACAACAACACACGAATGCTCAAAAAACTTGATCAAAACCAGGGTTGCTTCCGAGAATTATTCCAAATCTTGAATTTCGGAGTAGAGCAGTTCAGTTGGCTATTTCGTTTTGCTTTGCCAGAAACGACCAAATATATTTAATTTAAATAAAAGGTGACTTGGAACTTGGAATTTTACATTCACAGGTCTTGACTCATTCAAGATGCTTGCATTATTATACCAAAACACAGATTTTAACCCCTAACTAATACTAATTTTTTAAAGATTGTTATTGTTTTTAGTTAGCGTTTAACTTCAATTTAAGATGCTTTATGAAATAAAAAATTAAAATTACTATAGTTATTATATATATTTTTAAAAAATTTCAATGTATTAAACACTTAATTTGGTTAGTGAGCTTCATGGCTATTCCTCAATTTACAGTAAAAACCTAAATCTTTTGGAGTTAGAAAAATAAGTGAAATGAGTACGACCCCTCAATATATATTGTGTAGTTTTTACTTTGATTCCTCAATAAGTGTTCTATTTATATTAACTAATTTAAAACATGGAATATATAATTTTATTGATAGTATGAAATACTTTAAAAATACCAACAAATTTAAAATATCTCTCTCTAGTCAAGACTAATAAATGACTAATAACTTATGTGACAGGTAAAAAAATAACTATTTCGATTTGATAAGTTGTGAGTTTTTGTCGTTAAAAATAAAATATTTTACTTGTTTCATTTGAACGAATATGAACCTTTTGACACGTTGAGCTCTACGTGAACGTGGGTATATTTATGTCATGCTTTATGTGTAAACACGGAAGGCGACCAAATAATTAAAAGGAACTATTTCGGTATCCATAAAAATTAAAAAGATTTAATATCTTCAATTATATGAATAAATAAATTTAAAAAATAAACTCTAAATAACATAAATTTTAAATTAAAAATTTGTATAAGATAAATCAATAAAAAAATTAATTCAAAAAAAGTATTAAAAAATTAATTTTCATAACAAAATTTGTTTATATATAACAGAATTAAAAAATTAAAAATAAAAAGTTATAATAATACTAAAAAAACATTAAAATAATAAATAATAAATAATACAACTGAAAAATTAATTTATACTATAAAATCAAAAAATTAACACAAAAAAAACTAAAACGTATTAACAAAATATTAATATTAAACTATGTAATTATAATACATACTACATTAAAATAAAAATTAAAAAAATATAAAAATATGTGACAAAATTAAAAAATTAAAAACAAAAAATTATAATAATATTATAAAAAAAACAAATAAAATAACTGAAAAACTAATTTATACTATAAATTTAAAAAAATTATCACCAAAGAAAAACTAAAACATATTAACAAAATATTAATATTAAAATTTTTAATTATAATAGATGTTACACTAGATATAAATTAAAAAATATAAAAATAGTATAAAAATATAGAAAATTTTATACAAATAAATTATTAAAAATATTAAATAAAAATAAAAATAAAAACAAGTAATTATAATAAATAAATAAAAATAAAATAAAAACACGACTGTTTCGGTACCCTACTTTTATAATTTATAGTGAATACCGTAAAATTTTCAATAATTAAATGCTGGTAGGTCAAATCGAACTTGAATGCTTTTTGGTTGTGTGCGAGTGAGATAAAATCACAAAGAATAAAAAAGAGAGAGAATATTTTAATATATTATCAAACAATTTTTAATATTTCATAAAATATTAAATAAAACAAAAAAGTTAATAGAAAGTTTTGTAAAGTTCCAAGATGTTCACGAGTGTAGACCCACACACCACACCAGTTCCTCACGTGTTAACGTCATGGATGGCATCCAAAATCAGTCAACACGCATGATAGACCACAAAAATCTTGGTCATCACATTTTATTTAACTTCATAACTCTAGTTACTGTCTAAAATTTGTTTCAGCATCGAGGTGAAGATTACGTTCTTCGTAAAATTTAATTAGAAACATAGGGAATACAAGACATCACAAGAGGTCATCATCCTTCTCATGTATAAAACTGAATTTCTTATTTTTGGGCATGAATATTGAGTCCTCAGATTGTTGTAGAAGCACGGGATTATCTTGAAAATATTTCAATGTTCTCCAATTTTGAAAATATATCATGCGCATTACCCTGCAAGAACATGAAAATCAGTTTTTATTGAAATATAAATATGACCCACGGGAAAAGGTATTTGGGGAAGAGACAAAGTATTACAAGCCAGCTTGTCAGAGTTGAATACGTAATCCAATTCAATGTGTCTACATAGCTAAGTATGATCTAAGAACTAGAAAGTTTAGAATGAAGATTACTTCAAATTTAACAAGTATAAAAAAAATGGGACTATTGAATTTAAATTGCAAGTCATTGACTCCTATGATTGTGAGATGAAAACAACTTTTTAACAATCAAGCAACAATAATAATCTGTTCAAAACCACAAAATTTGGAGATGGAATTAGTTTATAAACTATTTTCTTTTTCTTGAAAGTTAAAAATATGAATTGTGATAATTGCATATTGGAAAGTTATGATAAAATATAATTTGAACACATTATTTTTTATTAAAATTTATTAAAAATCACAAAAGATTAATTTTGGGGTCATACTTCTTATTTAACTAGTTTTATAATTTTTAACCAACCATAAAAGTATACCTTCAAGATTGCGTTGCTAGATCTCTTGAATGATTTTAGTCGTAAACACGTGGAAATACCCTCAAATATGATTTGAGAGTAATTGATTTCTGGAACAAATAAAATCAATTCCTATATCAATGATTCTAAATTCAGAATAAGTGAAAATTAAGACCTTACTATTCCATTCAATTTTCACTTCCCATCTAACATTCTAGTTACTAATTTTTCACCTTCTCAAACAAGCACACGGGGTCATTGTAAACAAGCATATAATATGCTACTTCTGATGTGACTCAGTCCTGGTACTGTATGTGTTACTTTTGACGAGACTCAGATTCAGGGCCACGAGTATTACCTTACTATAAGTTTATGGGCACTCTTAAACCATCGTGAGCAAGCTGCACCGATAGTCCTTCCCTGGGCACAACAATTATAGAAGAAACAAATTTGTAATTTGCTAAAAATTCATAAAATACCACCGAGTACAAACTACAAAGGTAAAATAGTTGAATAACATTCACATAGTACTGTCAATATGGATGTTGAAAATTAAATATTACATGTATTTTTAGCAGTCAAATTTTTGACTGTTTTGAAAAATGGAAAGAAGTGTACCTTCTGGACCACTCCATTAAAAATTCATTGTCCTTGTGGTGATCAAACTCGTGAGTCATTCCAATCAATAAGGTTTGCTTTGGACATAACCTCTTAACAGTTTCAAGAGCCTGTAAAATTACACAATAGGGATTTCGCCATCAGGAACATGACAAGTCTAAATATCATTTTGGAAAATGCGGAACTAACCTGTGGAAGACAAAAGTGAACGTTATGTGATCCAGTCTGTAGTAACATAAAGAGGAATATCAAGAAGGAAACAACTATCTGAGAAAATAAAGAAATAAGAAAACTAAAAATGGAATAAGAAAGAAAACTAAAAATGGAATTGACAAATTTGTATCAAAAAAATCAAACGACGAGAGCTAAACACCGAGGGACACTCTATTCATGGATAATGAATAAACCACACAAGTAAGCTTGATATCATATCATAGCCTAAAATCTTAAGTTGGTGGGTCATTCTCATTTATATACTACTCAACATAATCAATTTTAATTGATGTAAGACTCATTTCACACTTGAACTTCAACAATAATCAAGCAAATAAGGTGAAGCTTCACAATCATGATACTTGACAATATGAAACATGAAAACATGTCAAAATGAAGTCAAACAGTTAATCATTTTTGAGAAAATTACAGAAAAGAAAATCCTGGCAAATTATTTGTGAAGAAGGATAATAACACTATGATAGACCCATAAAATTTGACGTGAGGGATCATTGCTTGATCCAGGCCCAATGAGGTCCACTATATGAAAAGTATATTCTAGATGGAAGACGCCTCAAACAGCCAGCAAGGCAGTTAGTTAATTAAGTGATGATAATTCTGTTAGCAGTGTGTGGGTTTATTAGGGGAAGGAGGAGAGAGAGAGAGAAAGCATGCAAATTGTGACTTTAGAGTTCAGAGGGGGAGCAGGGTTTTTCTCTTGTAGAGAAACACTGTTGTAGGAGACAAGACTCTGATGGGGTGCATTCAGTGGTGGACTGGGTATAATGTCCTTTCATTAATAAAAGAATTACTTCCTTTCATTTGGTTTCCAATAACAATAAAGTACATAATCACCACGTCATTTTCTTTTGTGAGAGTTAGAGCTCCTATTAGATGGGTTTATATAAGGAGGCAATCGAAAAGGAGTTGAAATGAGGAGGGAATTATTGTGAAAAAAAAGGCGAAGGGGGCGACTATAAAAAGGAACTAGAACTAGACAGAGAGACACTTAGTTGAGATTTCAGAAATGGTTTAGATAGTGAAGGGTCTAGGCTCCTGGAGCTTCCTGGGTATCTTGTACAGTTGTACCCACTATCTCATTCTTGAAACCTGAATAATACAGTTCTTCATTCTTTCATCTGTTCTTCCTTCTCTTAGCAAATCTAATTCCAGTTTTAACATTTTGTTATCCATATATTTTAAACAAGAGTTCTATTTTTTATTTTTTTATTTTTTGTATTTCTCCCTTACATTTTCCCCTTGAATCTAAAGGTGATTATTGCAAATTGGCAATTATGATGCACCTTGCAAGACAATTGTGCAGAACGAGTGTTAGCAACACACTCCTCTTAACACACATTTTTTTATTGGTTAAAATTTATTAAAAATCACAAAATCATAAGAGACTCATTAAATAGGATGTGGAGTCCACCAGATTTTGTCATTTTCAATTAACTTTAATCAATCAAATAGTGTCAGAAAGTGTGTTCTTTGCATTTCTCATATGCATAAACATCAAATTGAGAGCACAACAGTCATTAAAAGCGTACGTGTGCATGAGGATTGAGAAACTATGAAAACAAGTTTCTAGTTCAATTTCAAAAACCTATAAAAGCAATGGCTTGTGTGTGTATGCGGGGGGGAGGGGGATAGCTTCCAGATCACTCTACTACAAACCATCAATTTCAATTTATTTTGACGTGTTTTCTGCTGAAACTATCTTTATGTAACTTGAAGAACAATAAAATGATACTAAATTTTAATTGTTACATCCAATAGATTTTATGTTACGGGACAAAATTTAGAACGGAGGGATGTATTTTGAAGTTAAAGAAATGCTAAGTGACCACAAATTTCAATGCATTTAAGTCCAAAAAACATGTGTTTAGTAATCATATTATTGACCTTCTTTGATCAAGTTAGTATACTTGTGAACAAGATGTTTTGTTTGTCTTGTGTAGAAAATCATTGGAAAATTACTCCAGGAAAAAAAGTCACTCAAGTCATTCTGTAAAACAAATGACAAAAGAATGAATTGTATCGAGCCATACAAAAGAAGAGCTAACTAAGAACACTTTCAGTGACTGCCAGCAGGTGAAATTCTATGCTTGGAGAGTTAGAGGAACTGAGAAATTAAGAATCAGACTAAAAGAAATAATGCAACATAGTGGAATCCCTTTAAAATATAAAATAAAAAAATCTGATACTTCTACACGAGCATTCATGTCCTTTACGCAAGAGGATATCCTTTAGTGGCATATCATGTTTATTATGCAATTCTGTCGCAGAATTCACACATTCACCTGGAATACAATATTTACACTACACTCACACACAGACTAACAACAATTGAAAATGTAAGCACCGACCTTTCTCAATGCATCCAATATAAGAAGATCCAACTGTCCAGCCCCACTTTTTGAAATGACTGTAGAAAAAAGATACTTTGCTGTTAGATGTTAAAAATCACACTTCTGCAAAATGTGTTCCTATTGTTTTAATGAGGAAGGCAAGGCTACGAATTCAAGCTACTCAGCAGCTCTATGGCTTTGTTTATGGTTTAGTAAATAATGCTTACAAATTCAAGGTTTTTCTTGATGACATAACATCCATGAGACATTGATGTTAACTTTTTTTAGGTCTGAAAACTAATTTCTGGATGATATTTGATGAGTTGCATAAATCAATATCGGAATACTTTCTTTACAGGAGTAATTTTATTGTTATTTTCTTACAACCTTCTGGTAAATCATATCATACTTTCCCTATCAACTTACTAGTTGATAGTCACTAGCATTAGATGGGAGATAGTTGAAAAAAAAAATCCTCTCAATTGTGACTCTCTTACAGTCTAACTTACCGCGTGACTGAAAAGAATTGGATAACATATTAGCATTGGTTATAGAAGGTAAAAATAGTAGGATGGTCTTAACTACTGACAGCATTAAGTTCCACAATGAAGGAGAGCTGAAGCCTCCTCATCAAAGAATAGCAGGTAATAATACTCATAATTAGAAATTTGGAATTGAAGGTATTTCTTAGTTGTCTTTATATGAAATAAATTATAATATCTTAATATCTTCTCTCACTAGTATAGTTGCTTGTGGCATAAACTAAGCAGTTATGTCGCTCATTTGTTTACAGAAAAACATGACAATGTGACATGTTGCACATAATACCAAAAGACAGTTGGAAAAGTTTTAACTTCTCATTTCAAACTAATTGATTGGCTAAAACAGACAGAAAAATAATCACTTACCTTATTGCTCATGAATGGTCCAACTTTAAAGTTTGGTCAAAGAAAAGAAAAGAATAAATAAATTTTTCCTGTTAGGTTTTATAGAAAAGTGAGAGGAAAGAAAATGTAGTTGTATAAAATGACCTATATAGTTATTATAATGTAAAGGAAAATGAATGTATATTTCTGGCTATGATTCCAGGTTTTCTTTCAATAAGTGAGAAGAAATTTTTTAAGTGAACCCGCAATTACTTCTTTCTATCCCATTCTCTCGTCCAAACAAGAGAAAACATCAAAATCTAGTAATCTACCAATTTTCTTTTTGAAAAATTCTCTCCAACCAAATAAAGATTGTGAGAGATAGCACTAATGAGTAACACCATGTCCAAGTAGGAAGAAATGACTTCATAACTCACCATACTCTGTATTAGCCGGAATCCGTGAAACATCAGATATATAAGCCACCCTATTTTTCTCACCAAAAAGAAAACCCAAACAGATATAATCTTCTCCATGCATTACCTACGTCCATAATGTCGCACATAAGTCCTTATAATGTAAAACGGATATTGCATTCCTACCATCAATGGCAAGGTTTGTAGTGATTAACTGGCAAAGGAGTCAATTTCAAGCCTGACGCAAAAAATGGCTGATTACAATCATCAGCAATTATGTTCCAGCAAAACTGAGCTACCCTTCGTATTTCTTGCCCTTCTCTGTGTTTTTTCTGAACCAAATAAGGAAACACCCTTTCCATGCTGTTACAAATGTGTAAACAATAAATCAACTATCTAATGTAAAATGAGTCCTCAAAATCAAGTGAAAGGGAATAATGCTGACATAAGATTTGCTTTGCACTGTAATCAGAAATATTTTCTAAGCATACAAGCACCCAAATTTAATGATTGGGATGCAGATCAAAAGAGTACCCTTTAACCTACTGACCAAAAGGTGATACAATTTTGCTTGTTTGGAAATATTAGTATTAATTAGATGTATTTGCATCAATTCACTATGTACTTGTTTGGATAAATTTCTCTATAAGTATTTCTGGTAGAAAAAAATAGGAAAGAAAAATGAAACAAGTTTCTTCAGAAGTTAAAAATAGCTTATACATAAGATTATTTGAAGAAGTGCCCTCATATAGCTTCTCCAAGAACTTATTTTTAACTTATGCATAAGCTAGTTTTAGCTGGTGAAGAAACTTATTTCATTTTTCCTACCTATCTTTCTCTCTCATAAGTGCTATTAGAAGCTTATCCAAACAGCCCCTATATAGCAAAAAACTGTGTTCACCAATATCCTCTAAGAAAACAAAAAGCTCATCTAGTATGAGTGCTTCCTTAGAGCTCCTACTTCCACAAAGTAAAGCAAAATATAACATTGTAACTACAGGGTATCCATGCTCCCACTTGGGTGTTTCCTAGGATATTTCATATTTGACCAGGTCACATAAAAGAAAAAGGGAAAGTTTACCTATCCATAGAATGCTGAGTTAAGTAAACGGGAGTGGGATCAATATCATTTGTGGGACTAAACGGCTGCACAGCACGTATATCATCCAATCCAAGGACTGCATCAGCATGCTCATGAGTCAAAAGAATCTGCAATTCAAGCAAGAGTTAAGAAATGTACTACACTAGGGAAGGAAACTATTCCCAAATCAAGCTTCATCTGAGTGACTGACAGAATCTACTCTTGGAATGCTATGGAAAACAAACCACCTAAGCACAGCCTCCCTGAAGGTCTTGCCAGCATCAATCAATATATATTTGTGAGTGGCGTCGGCTTCAGAGTAAGATTGGATTAACAGAGAGGTATTGCACCTGCAAAGTTAAGTAGGTTACTGAAATATGTAATTTTATCCGTTTATGAAAAATGAAAACTTGAGTTCATGGGTGAAATTAACCTGTAATTAGAGTTGAGATGAGGTGGGAGGGAGAGAGATTGAGCGCAGACGGAGCATGGAGGATCTGAAGGGTCGATGAGGCACCTCATCGAGGGAATCGACCCTGAACTTCCAGTTCCCAGAAATATCAGTGCAGATTCCATTGCCACAACACACAAACGGAAAATGGAAGTAAAGTGGAAATTTCTGCCCCAACAAACAAACAGTGGAGTAGCTAAGGAGGGAAGAGTTCATTCCAAACTTTCAATTTTCATACATAAAAGATAAAGTTCGGTTCTTTTATGTTAACGAGATAAACTAAAGTAAACTACCATGAGATTTGATTTTTCTTTTAAGTAAAACAAATAATTTTAGTAGTTGATGAAAAAGTTAATAATTAATATTTTATTATATATGTATATAGTATGATTATAATGTCAAGTTAATAAAATGATATTTTAATTAATTTTTCATAAAATATAAATTTAATCAATCTAATTATTATATTAATTTGATAATATTAATAATTAGATTGAGTATACAGAATTATAAATAATTTTAAAATTATTTGATATTTTAATGTATAAAATGATATTTAAAAACATATAAATAGTTATTATTAGATAATATATTTTAAATCACTTAAAATTTTGATAATGTTTGATATATCATTAAATATAATAGTTAAAACAATTAAATTTACATTATATAAAAAATTGTTAAATATGTCATGGTGTTAATGAATTTGACTTGAATGTTAAATATTAATAATTGATTATTTCTTAATGTAGGATTACTTATTTTACTCTTTAAAATAGATTGCTCACTTTTGAATTATTTGGGTCCCAAAGTTGAGGTTATTATTAATTAGTTGTAGAAAGTAGAAACAAAGAAGCTGTATCATTTTGAACTGTAATTTGACTCTTGAAGCTACTAATCTTATTTTATTATGTGTTCTGTTTTTTCTTGGAGGTCGTTAACAAGTTGTTTACGGAAGGCTATGTTTGGAAAATAGAATAAAAATATTTAAATCGATAGAAATGAGAAGAAAAAAAATAATCAAATCTATTTGTTTTATTTTAATTGGAAAAAATTAACTATGAAGAAGGAGTTTGGTAAAATGAGTTCAATTTAGTTATGCTACGAAAGCAAGGTGGGAAGTTTTCAACCAAGATGTTATAGTTTCTGAAGTGTTAAAAGCAAAGTACTTTCCTCGAGTGGATTTTTTGAAGTCTACTTTGGGACACAATCCAAGCTTGATCTTTCATAGCATCAATGTTTCACGGGTGGTGATAAAAAAAAGACATGTTAGGTGTGAATATTTGGAAAGAGCCTCGTTAAAGGTGAAAGAAAATCAAAATGTTACTATTCCTCCTCACGACTAGTGATATTATTGACCTTATTGAAGACGTATTTGTTCCATGTGATGTTCAACAAATCTAGGCCATGCCCTTATTATACACCTTTGGCCAGGACAATGTGTTGCGGAAATTTAGCTTTGATGGGGAGTATCATCAACAGCCCTGAATTGGTTACCCCAAATAGGAGTAGAAAATGCAATTGTTGAGCTAGATTGTATTTTTAACAATTGATGAGGTTATTTTTAGAAAATATTAAATTTAATTTAGATATAAGATAAAAAGATAGATTAAAAGACATAAGAGATTTCAAAAAATTCTGAAAATTTAGAAACTCAAAATGCTCTCATTAAAGAATAATATCTAAAATGGTTATCATTTATAATAATAAATATGTGTAAAGTCCACAATTAAATTAAGTATATCATGCAACGGATCAATTAATTGACAAAAAGTTATTCTAAATTAATTAAGAATTTTTAGTTTGAATTTGAGTACTTATTTGTTTTAAATATTTGAAAGCAGAGTTTTATAACTTATAGTTATTCTTAAAACTCAAACTCTCTAATAAAAACATGTTATAGGTTTACTAAAAAAGAGTTTTCTAACTTATTAAATCAATTTATTAAATACATTTTTTTTAACTTTCGCATCTAATTTTCAAAGTATTACAAATTTTTTTTAATGTAATTCTTTTACTAGATGTAATGACCTTCTATGATCTTTATACTTAACGGTTCCTATTTATAGTGGAATAAAATAAGAGTTAATCACCTATACATTGTTTAGTGTAAAAAATTTTTACACTAACAACCAATTATATCTCTTAATTGTGTCATGTCACTATAAACACATTTACTTTTAACAGTGACATGACACAATTAAGAGATATAATTGGTTGCCAGTGTAAAAAAACTTTACACTGGCAATGTATAAATGATTAACTCATAAAATAATATATAATTACTTAAGATTAATATATAAACAATACCTATATATATATATATATATATATACACAATAATACATGTAAAATTTTAAACAACTAAAGATATAAAATAACTACACAAGTATATAAACTATGTATAGTAATCCAGTATCGAATATTAATCATAAATTATCAGTCAAACAATTCTACCAAAAGCAACCACATTAAAGCAGTCTCAACAAATCAACTCTATCATCACTAGCATGGCCACAAAAAATTATGTCTTGCCTCCAACTAATCTTGTACTACTCAAACATGATCATTGTAGTTCAACTATCAGGAAAACATGTAAGGGTAAACTAAATTTCAAATGAATCAACATATGACAAGTATAGATGAAATACAACTATACTACCAAAAACATGTAAACCATCCAACATGCACCTCATGGTTTGCATCATACAACACTTAACATGTCATCAACAAGTTTAAAAAGCAAACAACTTAAGCAAAACAAACTTACACCACAACCATGTCATACAACCATATAATCACCAAAGCATATGAACAACATCAAGTAATGTCACATATAAGCATACACCTCAACCAATGTGTCGTTACGCATTCACTTACGAAGATCTCCTACACCAAGATGAGTAGTTTAAATGACCTAACCCTATTGAACCAATTGATCTTTTTCACGCCTTTCACATAGATCAAAAGTTGATTGGGATACCAATCTCTACACATGATTTCTTGAATGTACAAGGTTGGGGGCAATAATCCCTAACTAAATACTAGAAAGAGCATAGTATTTGAAGGGTAGTTGACATACTAATTCCATAATATGTTTATTAATGCTAAGGTCATGGTAGGTTCACACCCAAGCTATCCTAACCCTGACAAGAATACTTGACCTTCCTAGTTTTAGTGACAAAACCCAAGAAACCATGTTGTGTTATGAATTTTTATCCAAATTTGTTGTCGATCTAGTAAACTCAGAAAAATTGTATTGTTAAGTTGGTTCAGTAGGGTTAAGCCACTTAAATTATTCACCCGTGTTGTAAGAGTAACTATTTTGCTGTGTTGCTTAACTGACAACCTGATTTTATGTTTTCAATACTAGATTACTGTATTGACGAAATTCTACACACACATATATGTTTTAATCATGACAAATCTTATGAACAAAAATCATAAGCCTTATGAGTATTTATGCTACTGATGAGTTTGCTTGGTGTATTCAAAATATCAATTAAAGTAAACTCAAGATTGATTTAGAATGACACTTAAAAGATGGATGAGAAAAAACAAGTTTAAACCAAACAAAATAAATCAATATGCCATAAATATAATAATGAAGTTTCAAAATATAGAACTCAAAATGGATGTCTCAATTATGCACTAAATATTGAAAATCTTTAAAAGACTATAAAGTCCATTTGTGTGATATCTTGAGCTCTAAGAATTCATTTGAGGAGATCTTAGTGGCTACGAAAAGCCTGAATAAGTATTTACATTCTTCATGGAGAAGTCAATAACTTATATGAATTAGATCATATACAAAATTATAAAAGAAGTTGTATATAATGTTGATCTTGACTGCAAAACATAATTGTTGTATTTTGCACATATCTTAAGTCTTAAATGTGATCTTGAGACAAACTTTGTGGTTATGAAAATCTATAATAGTTATCTATAACCTTTATGAAGAACTCGTGCACTAGAAAAGTCTATATCATATTTATTAATTATAGACAACTTTAAAATAAATGCATGTAAAATAACTACATGTGTAAATATTTGTGACTTATTAATATTAACATAGGAAATTGTAAAGACATAGTAAAATATTAATCATAACCAGATATAAATTATATTAATTATTAATTATAGACAAACATTAATAACCCTAAACTTGAATTTAAAAAAAGTTATTTTCCCTTTAATGACTATTCTTATATATATTTAGACACGTCCTATAAAAAAAAAATACATAGAAATTAGTACATATCATAGAAAAAAGTACTTAATTATAAATATTTTTTTTAAAATATTTAAATACATTTAAACTAAGATATAAATATATTGCATGATACATACATATTGACTATGATATATATATACTCTTTATATATATATATATATATATATATATTCTTTGATGAGATCCAACTTACGACATCCAAATTATGATTGATTAATATTTTTGTTCCATAGAAAATATTTGATACCCTCGTTAAGCTTATAATGAGCATGATATTCTAGGTTTTTTTTTATAATGAATTCAATTATGATATTGTTATTGAATGAATATATTTTATTTTTGAAATAAATTATTTAATTAAGTGAAATTATATTTTAAATTAAATATCATAATTTAAGTATAATTTTATTAAATTAAACTATATAAAAAACTAATATAACTTATACACAACTATCATGATAAGAAAAAAAGTTAGATATCGTATTACACAAATTAACAAAATAAAATTTGCATTATATTGACATTGAATGCATATACATAAAATTATAATAATTTCAACATTTTAAATTTTATGTATTAATATCGGTATAAATTTTTTATTGATTAAGTAAATTAACCAATAATTTTTTTATAATTATTATGACTTAATTTAACGTAATTATACTAAAAATCAATAATAAATTTATCATCTACACAACAACTTGTGGTGCAATTGGATTATTATTATTATTATTATTATTATTATTATTATTATTATTATTATTATTATTATTATTATTATTATTATTATTATTATTATTATTATTATTATTACAAAAAATTGGATTACAATATAAAATTGGTTAATTGGTATATACATTATTTATTCTAATTTTAATAAATTTGTTATTAAACTTAATAACCATTAATTATCAGTCAGTTGAAAAAGCGGTGCTCCAAGTGTGGCTGTAAAATCAATACCTAAATTCCATCGTGATGGTGGAGGCCACCTAATAATGATTTATAAAGCACATGC